GAAGGAGGGGCAAAAGCCTCCACACTGATTTTATTTTTATTCAAGACAATGTATTTAGCTATTTTTTCCTTTGCATCCTTGCATACATTTACAATGACTGCTTCCCAGTCTTTGTCTTGGAGATCCGACATCTGGCTCATCTTATGCAGGGTTTTGTGTTTTAATGACCAAGGGGCACAGTTTCCTGTTTCTTCAACGACTAGTAATTTTTCTAGTCTAATACACACTGTAAGTTCTGCTACATTCTTCTGCAGACCATTTTCTTCTAGCAGACAGTTCTGAGCTTTGTAGGTCTGGATACTTATATTATTCGGACAGATGTAGGAAAAGTCCCAAGTGTTTCCCAAATTCCTCTAATTTCTTGGGACTTGACTGTCAAACCCTTTCTTTTCTGAAGATACATGATAACTTGATTTTGGCATTAGGGTGGGTTTACAGAAGGCCATATTATTCAGTCTTTAGGACCTTATCTTTTTTTTTAGGACCTTATCTTTAAGGTGGAGGTCTTTCTGGTATTCCAGGTGGATTGTTAGTGTGTGAAACACTGGCTGGGTTGTAGAGCAATACCACTTCCAGCACTGTCTGACCTCTGGTATCTCTAGTCCATTCTCATCTCTGTACTCAAGAGTGTCATCCTGATTCGTAAGGAAAAGGGGATGGCGTATTCTCTTAGCTACTTCCTGCTGAAAAGGGACGCTGTAGGTTTCAGGGTGAAGACCTTCTCTCACTACTCTAAAGGGCCCCTTTGGCAGTAGGAAACACATAGATAACAAGTTTGGAAGATAGTTACCTGGCCAAATCACTGCACTAGATCCCTATTTTTATAGATAAAAAGAGGTGATGCAACAGTATACATAAATTATCAAACAATATCATTATTATCATATACAAGTAAAATATTCAGATTATTTTAAACTAGCTAGAGCAGTCCATCAACAGAGAACTGTCAGAAATACAAATTAGTTTCAAGGCTATGGAAAAAGAGATATAGTTAGCAGGAAGAATAAAATTAATAAACAATGTAAAATGTTTAATAGAGAGCCCAGGTCATAAAAGTGTTTTGTAAATGTTAAATCTTATTAGTATTATCTCTTTGGTATCTGTTTATTAAAAAATCTTTTTTTTCTACATCTCCCCCTACCCCCAGAAAGAAAAATATTAGACAGACTTAGTAATTAAATGTCCAGTATGCATAGCTATCAGTTTGCTAATCATTAACTTCATCTCACAAAAGGAACATAACTTCCTAACCTTAAAATTCTTAACCTTCTCCTCCCAGCCCCCTGCCCTGTAATATTCATTTCTATAACCTGCACTAATTTATTTCATTCCACTTATACTCACTGAACCATCTGTATTTTAAAATGTCTTTAGGTGTTGTAACAGCTCTATTTTTAAGGGAATTAAAGATTTTTCTTTCCATATGTAAGCATGTTATACACATATTCTACAGAATAGAAAAAATACCAATTGGAATGCACTTTAGAGGCAAGGGTAGTAAGAGTTCGGCACAGGCATGGTCCTTGGAAAAGAACACCATGGCAAGTAAAGCAGAGTCAGTGAAAAAGAGGAATATTCTCAATAAGACAAAAAGACACAGCAGCTACAACAATGTGTTCAAACATGGCAACGACTGTAAGGATGCCACAGTGCAGTGTTTGTTTCTGCTATTCACTGGTCAGAACTAATTCAATGACATCTAACAACAACTGCATAAATAAAAGCACTATTTTTACTGAATCGTCTTCTTTGCTTATACTCCAAAAACCTAGTTCCATTTTAAGGATGGAGAAATGTGGCATCAGGATCGGAGGAAGTCTCATAAACAATCTGCGTTATGCAGATGACACAACCCTGCTTGCTGAAACTGAGGAGGACCTGAAGTGCTTGCTGCAGAAGGTCAAGGCCTGCAGCCTTCAATATGGATTGAAGCTTAATATCAAGAAAATATTCTCACCACTAGACCAATTGGCAGCATCATGACAGATGATGAAGAGATTGAAATTGTTAACAGCTTTAGTTTGCTTGGCTCCAGAATCAACACTGTTGTTATCAGCAGCCAGAAAATTAGAAGATGAATTGCATTGGGAAAGTCTGCTGTCAGAGACCTCTCCAAAATACTGAAGAGCAACGATGTCAGTCTGGAGACCAAAGTGTGCCTGAACCAGGTCACAGTCTTTGCAATTACTTGCTAAGCATCAGAGCACTGGACAATGACTAGGGATGACTGAAGGATTGCCTTTGATGTGTAAGGCTGGAGAAGTGTACTGAATATACCATGGACTGTTAGAAGAACAAAGGTTAGTTTTAGAGAGGGAGAGACCAGGATGCTCCTTGGGGGCAAGGATTCTGAAGCTTTATCTGACAAACTTTGGACATGTTGCAAGGAGAGATCAGTCCTTGGAGAGGGACATCATGCTTGGGAGGGTGGAGGGACAGCGCAGGAGAAGAAGACCCTCAATGAGATGGACTGATGCCATTACTGGGGTAATAGGGATAGGTGTGTCGGAGATAATAAGATTGGCAAGGGATAGAGAGGGGTTTAGGACTGTTGTACAGAGTATCACTATGAGTTGCAAGTGACTTGACGGCACATAACAACAACAACAACAACAACAACAACAACAAAACTCAACTGATGGTTCAGTACATGTTAACTGCCCAAAGAGAACTTCAACTCAATTCCAAGATGCACAACCATACATCAGGGTTATATAAACAAATGCCCTAGTAGTAGTTAAGATGTCCTTTGTTCTATGTCTTCACTGCTCAGCAAAATTGACTTCTTTTTCTCTGAGATTAAAAATAAAACAACTCATATAAACTCTATATAAAGGATCACTAGGGAAAATATAAATATGATCTGGGTAATAGATATATTAAAATGTATTATAAAATTGGATTGTATAAATTATGACTAAAAATAGCATATTAGAAAACAGTACATGTAATTTATGGTTGGAAATAATACCAACATAAACATGTGCAGAGAATAATCTGAAAAAATGTGCATTGAAGTGCTATCAGTAATGATACTGGGTAGTGAGAATGTAGTATTAGAATTTAAAGACTATTTTTCCTTAAATTCTGTGACTTTCTATAATGTCCACAACAATAATTTTTTTCTATAGTTACTCACTTTATCACAGAAGTATTAGAGAAGAAATTTCACACCCATTGATTACTTCTTGACCCTGAGAGATTCTGGCATATCTTATTGCATAGTTCATGCTAAACCACTGCATTTGGTAGGTTTTCTGGTGGTTCTTTGTGTGTGGCCTTTGCACCTATACTTTGGCTTCTTTTATAGACCCAAATCATACATAGATGACTAACAGGTACTCATTGTCCAATATTCCAGCAACATAAACATGAAGAATGCATGCGAAAATTTCATACACTCATTAAAACAAGGTCCAGTTTTACATGAAAGTATCTAGACTATAGAAGACACATGTTTCACACCATTAAAAATGCCATTATGGTCACAATTAATCCATAAGCTTAATTCATCCTATTCCACAATATTGGGCTGTTGCTTCAAAAAATTATAAGCATTAAATATGTACTCATAATGTATATTGAAACTTCTCAAGCTGAAAAAAGTATGGGTAATGAAATTACAGGTAATTTTTTTTACTTCTTGTGAAGGTTGATAAACAGAAATTCTAATGGAGATATGCAAATATGTTTATGTTAAATATCTTCTAAAAAGTGCTTCTTTTTTTTTGTTGTTTTTTATTTTATTATTTTTGTGTGCGTGTACCGTCAAATCAGATCTGACTGGTACAGGAGGAGATTGTCCCTCCTTCCCCGGCAGAGCATCTGGTGGATTTGAACCGTTCGCCTCTGTAAAAAGTGCTTCTTAAGGAATAGGAATTGAACACTCATTCCATAAAACCATTACTATTTAGTCAATTATCACTGGTAGAGACCCCAGAGGACAGAGAAGTACTATCCCTTAAGGTTTCCTGGGTTATACCTTTATAGGCATTGACTGCCTGCCACTTTGCTCACCCATGGAGCTGCTGATAGCTGAACACTTAACTAGTTTGCCACCAGAGGCTGAAATCGAGCATAGATTATTTTAACTCAAACCTCTATCTAGGCAAGAATTAAATGTTTTCTTTTTTAAAAAAGTCTATTAAGAATTAAATAGTACAGATAATTAATTCTCCATTTTCCATTTCAGACCTTGAATATCAGTGCTGGTACCAAGAGACTGGAACAGTCTTTACCTTATAGCAAAAGGATCATCAAAATAAATTAATCTATTGAATTATGAGCAGTGAGATTTGCATTCTCATTAAAAACTAGTTTTGCTTTTACTTTGCCTATTTTATTCCTAGGGTGTATGTTTTCTTAACCTAAGTTGATTTCAGGTTCTCGCCAAAAATTACTGTCTACTTAATTATTTGAGTTGGCTATAACCTGAGGTCCTCTTTCAGACCTGATATATCAGGTTCTAAACTATTCCCTAAAGTTGGGCTCACATGTTCAGTTTCAATGAAAATTCATGAACTCCACACAAAAGGAGTTAGTTTCTGAGGATATGTTTTAGAAAGAAATAATCGGTGACATAAGTGACTTACTGATAATAAAATATCTCAAATAGTTATAGTCTGATAAATTGTGATATTCCAACAATGTTTTGCATTTATAAAGTACCTTTTTGCCCCAGGGTTTAAAACTTTCACTCAAACATAAATCCATTAATCCCCAAACAGCCTTATGAAGTCAAAAGAGCATATTCTAACCATGCATATAAAATGCTTCCAGAATGAGCTTATAAATCAGTCATGTTTTCAGCCATATATACAGAGAACTACAATTCTGCATGCCCCCAACAGAAAACCATGGAAAGACCATGTAGAAGTTGTTTTAAATAATCTCATGCAAATGTTTGAAGGCTGAAAACATTTTTCTACGTTAAGAAGAAACATTTTCAAAGTCAAAATGTGACAGATACGAAGCTGCTATAAATTCTGAAAATTACTTACCTATTAATGTAACTGAGGGCAACATAGGTTGGCTGCTGTAATTCTTGTTTTTCTAAAACTCGTGGATCAGTATCTGTAATAAAAACATAATTATCATTTTTTCTGGTTTTGCATCAGAATTTATGAGGCTACCTAATATAAGCTAACATAGCCTAAACAGAGAGAAAAAAATATTTATTTTACTTCTTTGTAAGGAAAATGCAATTAACAGAGCACAATCATTTGTTCATTCATTCATAAATAACAAGATATTGCATTACTTTTCAAGGGAATTCCAAACATCAAGTGATAAAATGCCCATCTGTTACACAAATTCTTGCACAATCCCCTTCATAAATACTGGTTTTCACTGCTTACAGTTACAATGTTGGCATGGTTTTCGGTGGTTAATCAGCCCAAGAAAGAAAGTTTCTATTAATTATGATCACTTCAATGCTTGGACAAATTAGTTGCTTTTGGAACAAATGAATTAAATTTAATTTGAAATTTCACTGAGTATTGTTCTTGTTTGTATTGTTTTGTTTGGATTAATTTTCTGGAGGGCAGCTCTTCCCCCTCTTAAACAAGCAATAAGTTTATGACTTTTCTAGATTCTTAAAGAGAAATCTTCATACTGGTCCAGTACCAACAAATATCACATTCTCTAGACGGGTTTTCTCTTTTAAAAGACAGAATTCAAAACCATGGCAACACTCTTCAAACAGGTTTCAACAGCACAACACCCAAAAAAGCACTTTTCACAACTAGATATGTATCCTTAAGCAAAAGATTGTTCTTATATAGAGAAATGATTGTGGTAAATATACGCAAAACTAAAGTTTATGGAACAAGACTTGGAAAAGGAAGAAAGTGAGCTCATTTTTACATATTCTTGATGAAATTTTAGACATTTAACCGATTTAATTATGACTGTATTTAAAGGCATAATTATTAGAAGTCTCACAGCTGTACATGGCAATAACACCTTCTTTGATGTAATGACAGATGTTGTTTCAAGTACTTTGGTAAGAAAAGTGTTCATGGCAAGTGGAAGATGTTGGATACATACATTAACTTTAAAGTGTGTTTAACAGGTGGTTAATGTGGGGCAACCGATACTGTAACACGAAACATAAATTGCAAAAATGGTAGCACATTAATCAATCTAGAATGCTTTCAATCCCCACACACAACAGTAATGTCCATATATACTTTTGGTGTTAAAGGTAAGAATCTTTTGTTGATCTTCTTGGTTTTCCTATGCCAACAATTTCAGGGACATTCTATTCAGGATCCTGTTTCCTAGGTCCTTCTTAGAAAAATGTAATTCCTTACAAGAGATTGGGATTTTCTAAATGGCTTTATTGAGGCAGATTTGGAGTTTCTGGAAATGCAAATGAGTATAAAGTAACCATCAGCAGTTCCAAGGTGACTGGTTTAGACAGATGTATAACTAGAAGATCTTGAAATACCTCTAAAGGACACTAACCAAATCAAATCCTTACTCCCACGACTTCAAGATTACTGTGTTTACAAAGCACATTCATGTTTGTGAGAGGACTGCTCTTTACACTGTAGTCTTTGCTGGAAAAGAGTCAGTAGAATAGTTAAACAGAGAAAGGAGTTTTGTTTAAAAAAGGGTCCACTTAAATTCTGGGAAGAGTGCATATGCAAATGGTGACTGACATAGCAATCCTGTAAGGTCCTTCCAGGTAGTTAACAGGGTAAAAAGCACGAGATTAGATACACAATCCATAGAAATGTAAAGAAAGGAGGAAGGGAAGGGAGAGGAAGGCAATGATTGCAAATGTCTGTGGAAAATTTCTCAGATGCTCACAAAATGGGAAGTCATGTTTAGGAATTGATGATCAAGAGACTTAGCTTTTGAGGTAGGAGCCTGAACTTGATTCATTAATACACATTCTTTTAAAACAGACAATTTGGTGCACGGATTTTATCAAGTATCTCTCCATTCTCACTGATGCTGAATCAGAATCTACTCACAGCTGGCCATTCATTGGGTTCTGAAGCTGTAAATACCAAGTAAGAAGACTTTATCTTTCTTCCATGGAGCTGATGATGGATTTGAGCCACAAGAGCTACCTATATTAGAGGTGCATGTGTATGCGTGTGTATAATATCTGTAGATATAATGCGGGGGAGGAGGGAGAAGGAGACCGAAAAAGATTTTTATTATTTTATTTTTTTATCATTTTATTATTTTTATTATTTTACTTGGCGTTTATTCTAGTAACTGACCTGCAATCTAACAGTATTCCCACAACCATCTTATAAAACTTTTTCTTGCTTCCAATGAACCTATTTTTGAAATTTTTTAACTATTACCTTTCCAAGGTACCTTGCTTTTTTTTCTTTTATTAGTGTCCAAGGGTGTATTGCATAAACACATATGAGTATAGGCACACACACTTGTAAGTTTATATTGTGCTTTTCTTTAATCTAGCAGTACTTTCCACAGGGGATAGAGGATGACAGAGAAAGAGAAGGAAGTTCCCTACATACAATTTTACAGTATTCTTATGTTCATATAAAAGTGTTGGCTGCTGAAATTCAGACAAATTGCATCTAGCGTCACAAAGAATTCTGTACAGACCATATCTGCATTATGAACGTTAAAGTGTCTTTTAAGTAAAATTTGTAAGAAAGTCAGAAAAGGTGCATAAAGTTCTTATTTAGTCTTACTATAGTGCAAAACCTTTAAAGTGATCTAAAACATGAAGATGCAGCAAGGGAAGGTGGTTATAAAGAAGAATTTGTCGTGATTAGGGGACAGTTCAATTGTTTTAAAGTGAAGAAAAACTGATAGAACATTAAAAGGGCAAGTAAGTGTTCTCCATTATTGGATAGTCACAATCCAGGTATATGCTATTTGCAAAGTAGTGTTTTGAAATTTTATCTTCTTACTATGTGTTGTCTTTCTCCATAACTTAAGGTAGACAAATAGTCATAAATTATGAGCAATAAAACTTTTAAAACCTTCTAACTGGCACCCTTTCTAACAAAAAAACCAGCAGCAGTAGCTCAGATTTCACACCCCCAAGAAAGGAGAGGTTCTGGTCAGTCATCCAGCAGTCCTAAAATATCCTTTTCCAGGTTAAAGGTTTCCTTGAGCAACCTTCAGAGGCTTAATTAAAGCTCTGACTTCTTAAAACGAAACTAGGTGCACAAATCAGGAGAGTCCTGAACAAGTGATACACACCATCAGCTACTGGTGGCAGAGAAACGTCAATCCTGTCATTCACATTTTGACTGAATCAGCAGCCTCACCACCAAGTGTGATGATGCCACTTCCTTTTCAGTGAAAGCCTACCTGCCTTCATTACTTCTTGAAGCCTTCTGGTGGCCCTTCAGGCTACTGTAAACAGAGGCCCCACAGAAGAAAAAGGAGACAATCTCTTCTGTGAAGATTTACAGCTTTGGAAGCTGCATGGGGCAGGTCTACTCTACCACAGGGTTCCTCAGGAGTTGGAATCGGCTTGACAACAGTTGGGGTTTTTTGTTTGCTGTTGTTTTAGTTTCGTTACTTCTCTATCCACAACAAAAAGTATCTGTCGCTAATCACTCCACAGGAAAGGAGTAGAGCAACAAGAGAGTTGGATTTTTACAGCAGGATTGTTTGCAGATACTGCACAATAGCACGTTATTCATTCATTATTCAGATGAACTGGAAAGATGAGCAGCAAAAACAAAAAACTCCTAACTTTCTTACGTTTGTGCACACTCTTGAGAAAATTTATGTATATTTTAAGTTGGTATAATAAGAAATGTAATAATGGGCTGGAACAACTATAGCACACACTTTCCCAGACATTTCTCTGGCTTGTCCTTTTGTGGCACCAAAGGAAACTTGGAACTGGTATTGCCCACAACTGTCCAGAGATATAAATGACCTCAGTAAACAAATGGTCTATGGGATAGAAAAACTAGAATTGTTCATAGCCATGTGATATTCCTTAAGTTGACAAGTGGACAAGAAAGCCAGTATCTGTATCATGTGACTATATATGGTTACACACAACCACACTTTAACATTGTTATATAATTAAAAATTGATGAAAAGATAAAACTATCAGCAGGGCAAGGTATTGTCAACAAAGCTCCAACAGAGATCATGACACTCTTTTCTGATTTATGTCACCTTCACACAATCACAAACTGACTGAAGGATAAAAAGAATTAAAATATCAAAATGTCAAAAAAATAAAATAAAATAAAATATCAAAATGTCTTGAAAATATCCAAGCAATAAAATCCCTATTAGCTTACTGCAGAGATTAAAAAACACAGCATCTTCTAAAGTAAACAGCAATGTGACTCTTTTTACTCAGTTATCTCATGGAAATATGTGGGATGTACGGCTCTGTAATGATTTGCCTATTTAATACCAGACACAGAGTAGAAAGCATTCTGTAGGTCAAATGGTCATAGTGACTCATGGTTTTATAGATTCAATTAAATGTCAAAGGGCTTCATGTTATAGTCCTTGTTATATATTAGCTCCCACTGCCTTTGAAGTAGCAAAGAAAAAGTAAGGCAGACGGTTGAAATAAAGGCAGATGAGCATTCAGATCCTTATAGGTACAGAAACTGCAACGTGCCCAAAGAAAGGCAAACAGCAAAAACGACCTTGTTCAATCAACAGCCCCATGTTCATCAGCTCTGCTGTCTCAAGCTTTTGGAATCAACAGCAACAGCATGTATGGATTTGCAAAGTTTTGTCTCTCTTCAAGTCTAATAGGAACTCAATCAAGACTTTTTATAAGTAAGTTCAAGCTCATTTACGAGCTCCTGGTTTTGACTATGTTGAAGTTAGTCTGCATTTGTTGGATTTAGATACCCGTAAGTCAGAAACCAGACACAATATAAACAATGAAACTTTGCAAATCTCATTAAAGGTAGCACTAAGAGGTAGAAACTATATCAGCACCCCAAGTAGGCCTTTTTCAAGCTATGTTCTCCAAATGAGACCTTCTCTAAGTATGTCTAGCAATAGAAGGGGGCCTGAAAGGAAGTATGTAAGAGGGCAGTGCAAGATTTATAGCACTGGAAGACCCTGGAGAGGCTAGGACCCCA